ACACACACACACACACACACACACACACACACACACACACACACACACACACACACACACACACACACATACATACATACAGACGTACGGACATCATCGTAAAAATAGTCAGGGAAATTTCCTGTGACCTTCAAACGTCGAGATCTGATGAAAACTCGATTTTTGTAAAACGGGGTGAAAACAATAACTTCCCGATTTTTGAAAATCTGAGATTTTTAGCGGGAAGTTAAAAATACTCTGTAAGAAATTTCTTAATTATAATTTTTTTTTGTTTTAATCAATTACACAATTAATTTTTTTCTTAAATAATGAATGAGTGTTATGAGGCGTGCACTTTTGGATTTTCCAAACTTTCTTTATATACGGCTGGAAGACAGCTGATACTATAATCAATTTTTTCTCTGACTGACTACCGTTGATACGATTTTTAAGGGGTTCTTTTTTTATAATTCATGCATCGGAACAAAGGAGAGCGTTCAATTCGTATGAAGCAATACTATTTGCGGGTAATCATTAATAAGCTTAAAAATTGAATTGTAAATAAAATTGATTTCGTGTAATGTATTTGTCATTAATTTATTGCTGAAATTATTATTCAAATTTGTTCTTGTAAAAATTATCAAAATCAAAATTATTATTAAAAACTTGTAAATTTACGTACATGATCGCTTATACAGCATGCATATTTGAATGTAAAAATAGTATATTACATACCTAGGCCAGTAAAATAAGAAAAGTCTCAGACCACATGTAATTGTTGGCCGAGGCGAAGCCGAGGTTGACAAACATGTGGTCTGAGGCTTTACTTTTTACTGGCCAAGGTGTGTATACTATTTTTCTGCTCGACGTAGCCGGAATGTGGCAACTTTGTTTAGCGCAGCGGCCAGAAAGTTGCCACTTTCCGGCCGGAGGGCAGAAAACTTTTTTTACTCTCATTTGTAGCCTGATATGACCATGTATCAAATTTTTTTACCAATAGATTTATTCATAGTTAAAATGTGTAATTAACTTTTCTTAGAGAAAACAAAATTGTGTTAAACTTAGATAGACTTGAATTATAAAGTGAATCCAGTTAGATGTAAAGTAAAATTAATTTCAGTTATACGAAATAAAAAAATTATGTAAATATAAATTTGAATAAAAATATATTTTTTTAAGTAAATAATTGACTTTCAACAATAATTTAATTAATCAAAGCTTTTTAAACTTACTTAAATTTCTTTTTTTTTGTCAGAAAACTTAATTAAATGTTTGAAGTCTACGTAGATCTAGTAGCCTAATTAAATCTTCTAAAGTCCTAATAATTTTATCTCAAGCTTTCATTTAAGTGCAAAATAATCTAATGTAAGTTTTTAAAATTGAAAATTTTTACAGTGAGAAATTTAACTCGTCTTAACTTAACAATAAAAGCATATGAATTTTTTTAATTTCACCCTATCGATTTAGAGTGAAATTTATTTTTGATCGATTATTACGGAATTCCACAGTACTTTTGACCGAAGTAAAGAGTTTTCTTTTACTCAAAAATTTTTCCTTTATATGTATACAGTTTTATAAGAATAAAAATTTATAAATTTACATACTGTCTAAAAATTGTATCATTTATTAGTATGTTATTTAAAGTATCATGAATCAATAATTAAAACTATGACACCTTGTAATTTCATCATTATCAAATTGGCATGAGTAATTTATTTAAATCATAATTATAACTATAATTATAGTTACTGACTTATTAAATTAACAGAAATTATGTAATTAAAAAATGAACAATTTCATAACATGTTACAATAAAAATTTTTTTTAAAAAATTTTCTGCACTTGTTACCTTAAATAGGGTAATAGATAAGGATAATGTCGAAATAATAATTATATAAACCAACAGAAATGTTAATTTCCTTACGAATATATATAAATTAACATAATATAAAATAAAATGTTGACAAAGTTAAAATTAGAAAGGCATATGTAGAGTGAGGAGGTGGAAGAAATACCTTATATCACTATCTTAAAGCTGGACACAATTCTCTCCTTCATAATGCAGTTGTGTGCTGGTAAACATAAGACACGCGGCATAAAACACGAGCCGTAACGGCTTACCGCTAAAATATTATTTAATCATACAATATAATTATTTTGTTATAAATTATAAATTATAAATAAAAAATGAAAATGAATTCAAATATTTTATTGCTGTTATGGACGATATTATATTCAGTGAATTTGAGATTTGTGAATAGTCAACAAGGGCGGTTAGGAATTGCCTATCAGTGGAAATATATAGATTGGGTTTGGCCGAACGTGGTGTTGACCGAAAAAAAACATATCATTGAGAATCCATTTACGCAGGACGTAGATGTTGATGTGAGTGGACGTGTGTTTGTTACAGCTCCCCATTGGTTGGAAGGTACGCCGATAACGCTGTCTGTTATCACGGATCTGAAGGGTCCTGGCGGTCCCCTTTTGACCCCCTATCCTCATTGGTCTTGGCATACACTCAAAGATTGTGATAAACTTATTTCGGTTTATCGGATTGCGGTGAGATATTAACTGTTCTTTATTTGTTTTAATTTTTTTAATTGATCTAGTTTCATTTTTTGTTGAATCCTGTTGACTTAAAAAAATCTCGACGGGAAAATGAATATATGTTAACACATAAATATATGTATTTCATACTCTGTGTTCTGTTGAAAATTATGAAAATTTTATTATATCACTTATGTGCGCTGATAACAGTTAAGTTAATCCAAAAAAAAAAATCTTGAAATCAAGAACATAATTTTGAAGAATAAGATCATCTTGAATAAAATAAAATTTACTTGAGTTAAAACAAAAAAATTCTCAAAAAAAAGTAGCCGTTTAGTTTAAAAAGTCAATTACCTCTTGTTGATTTTTGAAAAAATTCGAAGTTTTTCGCATATGTGAACAGATATATTGAATTTATTCGGATAATTTTTTTCTATATATGATGTATAAAGGTGGTTAAAAATTTATCATACACAAAACGTATGTTTACGTTGATTTTTAAAAAATTTCATGATTTTTTGTAAATATCTTGCCGATAAAAAAAAATTTTAATCATAATGTATACAACAGAAAAAAAAATCATTATAAACAAATTGTTATACGATTTTGACAGAAATTCGTATCAAATCGGATATAAATTCGTACATACATATTTTTATATGTTAACATGAAAATATTTCCATAATTTATAATTTAGAAAAAGATTGTATTGATGAAAAAATTTAGCATTAATTAAGGTAAAAGAACATTATTGTTAGGTTGAGTGCAATAAGACTTCTTTTAATAAAATTTCTGATATACTTTTTTTGATTAGTTTTTTTTTTAAGTCCGGAAAAGCCTTGGAATGTCGAAACCTTGATTTTTTCAGCAAAATAGTTTTCCTATTAATCAAATAGTTTATACAAAAATAACAATTTTCTGATATGATCCGGTGTGTCCCCATATGATTTTCGACATAACTTGATGTTCCTATATTAGGTCTGACATACTCATATATGCCCATATATTTTTCTAACAAAGTAGTCTTAAAAATTTCCGACACAGGGCGCATGAACGCTGAATTGTCTCTTTACAAAATAGATAAGTCTGAGGTATATTTAGTTATATGATAAAAACGTTTCATTTTACCTTCCTAAGGAATTTATCTGACGCTGGTTTTTAGTTTAATCAATTACTTAATTATTTTTTTGTTCAATAAAAATTTAATTGACACACATAAAAAAAAAAATAAAAATTGAAAAATTATGATAAATTATCATTATTTTATGGGTTTAAACAAAAATTCTTCTAGAATAAGGTTTTATGAATAAAGAATAATAAAACTTTCACTAATATTCGATTCTAATTTGATAAGTATGATAATTTTTTAAAATTTATTAACTTGAATTTTTTTATTTTTTTAATAATTGCAAAGTTAAACTTCTCTCAGATCGAATAATTTAATAACTTGCTATCCTCGGGAGACATCAATTAACTGACATACAACAAGATCATTAGCTGAATAATGGATATGATAGTTAACCTTCTAATCAATAATAGATTGAAAGAAAAAATAGATTAATAATAAATATTAATTACATAAAAGTCAATGCACTATTAAATAAACTAAAAAAAAAATAAAAAAAAAACTGTCGTGACAGATAACTAATAATTTATTTACGAAAACAACATTCACTTATGAAATTAGTCTTGATCATTAATTTTTTCTTGCGCAACAGATCGATGAATGCAACAGATTATGGATGGTAGACGTGGGGCGTATTGCTGACCAGTCGATTTGTCCAATGAAGATAATGATATTCGACTTGTTCACGGACCGATTAATCCACAAGTATGTGATTCCAAGCAGTCAGACATTTGGAACGGCTTCATTGGTGACGCCGATAGTCGATATCCGTTCTTCGTGCGATGACGTCCATCTCTACATTGCCGACGTTGCTGAAAATGGCATCGTTGTTTATAACCTCCAACAAGACAGGTCATGGAGAATAAATAACACTTATAACAACGCGTTTGGTCCTGATTCTGATGGTATGAACATAACTATTGCTGGCGAATGGTTTGATTTAACTGATGGTATTTTGGGGATGTCTTTATCACCGCCTGGATTGTTCCAACAAAGGTAATCACTAATCAGTAATCAAAGATGATTTAATAATAACAAATTTAGCGTAATTAGTGATTCATTTTTTTGTAAGTTAGAAATTAAAACATCACAAAAAATGATACTTAATAGTTGAAAAAATCCAAAATGCACGACATAATGCTTAGAATTTTTAATAAAAAATATATTAAATTGCTAATTGATAGAGTGAAGTATAAAAAAAGAAAAAATCTGAAAAGTTATTATAAATTATTTCTGTAATTTGTATTGAAAATTTCTTTTTCATTCGTTCTTTTTTTTTTTTAATTTATTATTGTTTTATGTCTGAAGAGTGAGCACAAAAAATGCTCTATTATAGCTTAAAAATCAAGATTTCAACCTTTTGTCATATTGAATCGTACCAGACAACTATACATGTATATATGAATGATACAAAAGCACACTGTTAGAAAAAAAAATGATTGCTGAAATAATCAAAAATTTTTTTAAGCCGATCTATAACTATTTTTACACAGAAAAGTTGTTTTAATGGCTTATAGTATGAATTTTTCAAAACACGATAACTTAACAAAAAAAATCAACTTTTCAACTCAATTTATTTTTTAACCTCCTCATCACTTTTTTGCGTCAACGATAATTTGACCGGATTAGCGGCGATTGAAGTGGTTTTTCAAGGTTAGTTATTTTTTTTTCGTAGTTTTTTTTAGATTTCTCAAAATATACGGGTCCGAATCGGTCCAAACTGTGTTCAAAATCTAAGTTTGGTCAAACCCTTTCGAATGGCACCAACCGCGATAAAATTGGTCCAGCTGTTCCAAAGTTATGAAAGGTTTACATACACACTGAAACACTAAATTTTGTATAATTTAAAAATTTAATTATTTATTTCATTAGATCTCGCGGGGGAGGAAATAATCGAATAAATTTCTGAATTTTATGTAGGTTCACTGCCCGGGAATATCCCGCTTCCCAGATGGATGTTGTCTATATTTTTATGTATTGAAATTTACCTTAGAGGTCTGACAGAAATTTCCTCGTGTGCCAGTTAATTTGTTTGATTTACTTACAATATTATTAACGGCGACGATTGTCCTGCTTCCTCGATTGGACCTCTTTGGATAGTCGTAGACAGCCTTATTAAATAGATGTTGGTGTTCTTAATAATAAATGAGGATCGGCAACAAAGATAATAATAAAACTTAACTTTGTTACACCACATCAACACTTTAAACAAAACTTATAATATCTCGGTAACGCAAACTAACGAAATATTTATAAAATAGAATACTTATATACTGAAGATTATAATTAACTGAACAATAATAATAATAAGCGTGGTGAGTAATCACCTGATGCGAAAATAATAATATTAATAGAAAATAATATAAAATAGTAAATTAAATAATAAACTTTAAGATTGAATGAGATTTTAGGGAATAATCACCTAATAGTGGTAATAGTAATGTATGTAAATTTGTCACGTCACGGGAGCTGAACATTAATTTAGCGAGTGTCGGTAACGAAAATTTCGGGTGGTAGTTCGCCAGGCTGATAAAGTCGGGACATTTTGTAGTGTCTCAATACACACACACACACACACACACACACACACACACACACACACACACACACACACACACACACACACACACACACACACACACACACACACACACACACACACACACACACACACACACACACACACACACACACACACACACACACACACACACACACACACACACACACACACACACACACACAC